TTTTTTTTTTTTCGAATCTTTGTGTAGTTTAAGAGAACATTTTTTAAAACTTTTGGAATTGCCTGGACATTTCAGGAGCTTTGAAGGAGCTGAAACTTGTTTTTGTTTACCTGTAAAGGGTGTATCTAGTTTAAAAGGAAACTCTCTTTTAAAAAATCATAGAATATGCAAAAAGAAGGAGGAGCTGGCAAAAATATACCGTCCTGTGGGACCGAGAAGGAGGACTGGTTGGGGAGCAGTGCTGGTCCTCTCCAATCAGACAGACCGACAGACTGGCAGATCTCTCTCTAAAGCTTCATATTTTCTATTGAAACAAACAGCCTTGCTGTTTTAGAGTGATAGTGAAATGCCTCACCTTAAAAAGAAATCTGTAGATTATTTTAAAAAGAATTCTATTTTTATAACGGAAAAGAGTTTGCTTGAGAAGTCATACTTATTTGCATTTCATCTTCCATAGAAAGAGGATTTGTGTATAAGTGTTATGCCGGTTTTGTACACTTGCAGTGTGGTTCCTGGTTTGTTAAGAGATTAAGGTGGCTTTTGAATCCCACATGACAAAACATGTCCTCTACTGTTCTAGATTCAAAAGTAAAGCATTTTCAATGTTTTGGTTTTTAAAACATAATATTATTCCTATCCTAATAATTCATTTGGTTCATATGGATAGTTCATGTTTAAGGAAAGAAAAAGAATACATTTGTGTTTTGAAAGACTTTTTAAATATATTTGAAGGTGTGATTTTTGAGTATGCATAGCAAATAGATATGTATTCTATATATAATATAGATATTTATATAAATATATAAACACAATTTTCACTTGGAAAGAAATGTCTATCTTTATAGAAACACAATCATTATCAGTTGCCCTTACTTTCTCACTGCACATTAAAAACATTGATTTCCTTTTGATGTTTTCTTTTTGTGTCCAACTTTAACCGTTTTTGTGTAACACTTCTGATCACACTCTAATAGTCAGATGAAGCGCTGCTCACCCTTACCTATGACTTCTTTGATGGTCCACTATGTGTAAAAAAAGAAATATGAATTTGAATCAATTCTTCTCCTGAAAAATCTGGCACAGGAAAAATGAACAATGACTATCATCTCCAAGTCCTGTTGAATGACTTTGAGCGAAGAGAACTAAACTGTGCCTTCGCCATCCAACTGCTCTTGTAATAAACAACACCACAAAACTATAGTATTACGAGACAAATCGAAAAGCAGTGTCCATGTGTGTACAGTTCTTTTTTTTCCTCTACATTTGCCTTCCAAGAGAAGATTTTAAAAATGTGCTTTGCAAACAGCTCAACGTGTTCCAAAAGTAGAATCAGAAGGAGCTGGTATTAAGATATATTCTTCAGCTATTTATGTTCCTCTCTTCCAACAAAAACATTTTCAGTTACAGCAAAATATCGGTGTGTCGTGCAAGGGAGAAAGGCCAGCAGTTTTCACAGCAGATGTTGTGGCTGGTCACGGCAGGAAAAGCACAGGTGTAATTCATAGAATTAAAAAATAAGGCTGCATTCCATTTATGTGAGCCAGTTTCAGGATCCTTGTGTTGTGCAGTCTGGCTCTCTGTCAGGTCTGACTGGGACACTTGATGGAACTGACTTAATTAAATTTTCCTCATATGTGCTTTTGCTGCTATGACAAATCAAAATGTCAGCCATGAAAACGCTCCATTGACAGAGATCGTGGCGGGGAAATGTACTGATATAGGTGTTTTCCAGGCTTTGTGGACGTAGACATCTAAGTCATGAATTCCCATGGTTTGAAACCGGCTGGAGAATTTTGCTGCGTGACATGCTGTTTGCTCTCCCCCTAATGCTTCCCTGTCCATCTCTCCTGTCAGATAAACCCAGAAATGCCAAACAAAGATAAACCCTTTTTTAGAAAAAAACAAAAAAAAACATGTTGATATAAGAAACATTTGGCTTAAAGCCAAAGGAGTTTCATTTGATGCCTGACATTTGCTCGGCAACATAAAAACATCGGTGGGTGAGATGCTGCCAAACAGTGCCATCTCCTGGGAATAAACACTACCTACAACGCGTGTTTGTGATTGAACACTGGTAAACACAGAAACAGAAAGCAGACTTACTGATGTCTGCCAACCCCAGGAGAAAACAGAGAAAAACAGAAACTGGGGCAGAGAAAAAAAAAAAGAAGAAGAAGAAGACAGGAGGAGGCTAAGTTAAAGGCAGAGGAATGAGGGAAATTGAGTTAAAGACAGAGTTTGTCACCACAAAATACAAGGCTGTGGACAATTTTTATGTTTTTTGTTGGAGTCGGGGTGAACAAAAAGGGCTGGGATGGTTTCAGACTATGCAAACACAAAGAGAACCGCTGTTATATCAGTACCAATAAATAAAATAATAAATGGGCCTCAACCGCTGGAGTTTACTTTGGCTGTAGTTTTTGTATGCAAACACACACGTGTCGTGAACCACAAGAAACGCTGGTGACTGTTGCCTGTTGGCAGCCTCCAGCCAGACAGCTGGAGTTTTATTAGCAGACACAGGATTAATAGACTCTTTATTACCCAGAGCAATTAAGGACTTAATTGGAGAGAAAATAGGCCCCATTGAGAAGGAACATGGAGAGGAAATAGACAGGAATATCTATTGAGCAAAGTCCACAGCATATGTGTGCCTGTGTGTGTGTGTGTGTCTTTGCCTTTTCCTGCAGTGCTTCACGAGACCACCAGGAGGTATGTGAGAGTCATCAGCGATGCTCTCACATGGACGTCAATCAGTATCACAGGTTGTTCGGTGGCCCTGGTTATTATTGGCACCACCTCCCTCCCTTTCAGTGGTTGTTCCATTTTGATCGCATGCGGTTATTCTGAACGGAGCAGGAATAAAACAGGCTGCAGAGACAAAGCCACTGCTACTTTGAGCCACACTTGAAAAGCCTTGCTGCTCTCGTAAACATCTTTTCAGAGGGGGTTTTTGATACGAAGCCAGACTGCAAAATTACTGGAAATTCAATTTACTTGCTTCTAGTATTTCATTCATGTATGTTTTTTTTGTTCCTTTCACCAGCAGCAGCAAATAAGGGCGACCAAACTTGTGAGCTCAGAGGTCCTTAACAAGCTTTTCCTCAGTCAGTCCTGTCAAACACCTCTATCAGGTGCAGAAATGTGACTCATAACCTTTGTTCTCCTCACTCCTTTTCACTCCACATCAAAGAGCAGCTTAATAAGGCCGCTGCTCGCTGAAACCCCCCCTCTGCTCTGTGACTTTTTAAATAATATACCTCCTCCCGACCTGCACTCTCTGCCTCCTCGCAGCTTACAGACACACAGTCATGCTGCTGCACAGCCAGCGATGGCAATATTCCCAGTTTTAAGGTCTACCCAGAAACAAGAGGTCATTTCATGGTCTGGTGGCTCTCTGACTGAGATAGAAAATCTTCTCTAATTTTCCTCCCAGCAGAGGAGATGTATGTCAGGCTTTGTGTCTTTCTTTCCATCTTATTCTCACTTCCCACAGTGGTGGGAAGCAGTTATGCACATTTACTCAAGTGCTGCGCTTTAAGTGCAATTTCAAGTGCTTGTACTCTACTTGAGTTTTTTTTTTCCATTTTCTGCTTTTTGACACTTCTACCCTATTCATAGTCAACGCTTAGCTTCAGATTCAAAATGCTAATAGTAGCCAACAACTAAACAATAACGTATTTCTGTAGGTTGACATAAGCTAGAATAGGCAGAGATTCACAACCTACCCAGTATTATTCATCTGCTGCAACGTTAACGTACACAAATATAAGGATTTGAATGCAATTATCAAATATACAATGATTTGTTTTGCTTCTGATTTTAAATATAGTATATTTTGATGCTGACACTTGTGAACTTATGCCGCTTTGTGAATGCAGAACTGAATTTGTTCAATTAATTAACAGATCTGGATATTTTTTTCTATCATTTTGGGGTATCATGTAGAATACTAACCTTCTGTCTTGGTTATTTTATTGTTGTGGGCCAAAATAAAATCGCAGGTATGAGGCTTTGAACAGTGATGAAGTCTTATAGCCGCTCACAGTGGGAATCGTGTGTGCGGGGATTTATAAAGTCTCACTGTCCAAGGAGAACATTAACTCAATAGCACCTCATGACACAGAGTTCTATAAAATGATTGGAACCTAATAGTTTATGATGATGCCATAAAGCCTATAAATCACCTGTGTTCGAGTTTATGTGACGTCTATAGATGCTAGATGTATTTTTTTTCCAGTAAATTCTTGCTGTAGATACTTTCAGCATGCATCCACAAACTCCCACACTGTAATGGCCTGAGATGGAGGGACAGGTAGAACATTACCTGAGGCACTTTTTCTACACCATTTCCGCACCTGTCTCTGAGTGCTGGTGGATGAGGAAGGGCATGCATGTGAGCTGCACCATTGCTGGTATGCTGTTGCACTCTGGTGGTCTAACTTGGCATTTCACCAAGATTTAGACCGCTATGGTTAAAGTTTGACTGGACAGTGGAAAGCTGGCATGAGGAACCAAACTATAGCCTCCTGAGGCCCGTCTTCATCAAAATCTAAAGTGGAAATCTTTATCATTAACTTCCGCAACATCAGTCATGACATCAGTCAGTGTGACTTAGATTATTTAGGGAGACATACGTCAGATCTTGAAGCACAATGTTATCACTGTTTGTGTACTGAGGAACATTATCACCTGCATAAGATTCTGTCTGGGACTGATTTCACACCAACAGAAAAGTGTGTCACTGGTGACAGTGTAGATATCACAAACACACACTTACACAGTTGTATTTTTTTTTATTATTATTATCATTATTATAGAAAAATAGTTTATATAAAAACAAATAAGTTATGAATTCCAGCAGCTGCTTTGTAGTTTTCCTCTATTAGAACATTTCTTTCCCTCAACACACTCTCTTCGTCATTCTCACATGCATTCACACACACTCTTGCGTAAAGTTGATCATCTCACAGTCCTTAAAGATTCTCCCGCAATACAGATGTTGTCAATTCAGTCCCAAATATCCTCCTCATCTGCCCCTCACCTCCTACCCAATACGAGTTTATTGGAGCAAGTCCATCTGACAGCTGAACCTGCTGAATTCATCTTCCCTCCGCCGTGGACCTGTGACCTACTTCCCGTAGAACATCTCCATGAGCACCTCCTCGATGTTGACGGTGCCTATGACGGGTCTGAAGAAGAGCTGGGCGACCACCGGCGGGCTGATGGCCCTCAGCATGGACAGAGCTATGAGCAGTTTGGCGAACCGCGACGTGTCTTCACGGTGGATCAGCCGGACGTGCTCGTTCAGAGCCTGGTGCGCCTCTCGACGCAGCGACTGGATGTAGTGCAGACAGCGCAACCCCTCCAGGTCTGGGAGAAAGAGAGAGAGAGGCAAGGGAGATGAAAGTAAAGAGAAAAGTTCAGAATGCTTTCCACATACCCACCCTGCAAAGGCGCACGGGTTATTTAGTGCATGTTTGTGCGTAAAATGTGCCACTTCTCCAAACAAGTCAAACTTCTAATATGAATACCTGCAATAACTTATCAATAAGCCAGTCGATGCACTCATGTCTCAGCTACATGCCACCTGTGTTAAACAGCCTAACTTTGACGCACAGGTAAGAAAACCCACCTGGATTAAACAGCACAGCTCCCTTCAGGTACGCGTACTCCTTCGTGCTGATATCTACACTCCAGCACTTCTTCAGGAAGGCTCTGATAGCCTCGATGTCCACCACAGAGACCCCGGCCGCCCCCCTGCTCTGTCCGGCCAACAACTCGCCCTGTCTGTCCGGCAGACCCGTGAGGATGCGCTGCAGCATGCTGGGCTCCACCGTCTCCGTGGTCTCAAAGTCCACTCGGTCCTGCGCGAGTCCCAGCACGAGCAGCGGCGCCCAGCCGCTCCGGATCAGTATCAGCTGGTCGTCCTCCGGCAGCTCTCGAAAGCAGGGGACGTTTTTCACGAAGCGCAGCGTCTTCACCAGCACCGCGGACGCCGCTTTGCACGTCACCTGCGGGGAGCGCAGGACGCCGCGGCGGCGCGTCGAGCCGCAGGAGCAAGCCTGCTGCCGGAGCTCCTGCAGGGAAGCCGGAGCGGAGGAGGGCGTCTTCTGGAACAAGTGTTGCAGTGTTTGTTGTTGGTGGGGATGTTGTTGTTGTTGTTGTTGTTGTTGTTGTTGCTGTTGCTCCTCGGGGGTCACAAGGCTGTCGCTCTTCAGAATGCTGTAGAGGATGCTGTTGTTGTTTCGGCCGCTGGCACCCCGGCAGCGGCAGCCCTCCAGCGTGGCCATGACCGCTGGCCGCTCTACATGGGCCGGAGCTCAGCGCGTCTCTTTGAAGCGCCGGAGGTCAGTGACAGAGGTAGCGCTGTTTTCTTAGCCCCTGATAGCCCCCGAGTGAAGGGCAGCACGTTTATATTAGCTCCCGTCTGTCTCTGCGCTTTGAGAGCCTGTTCAGACTCTCTGCTTATTCCGCCTCCCCAGACTCAGGCGCCTCCTCTTTCTCCACCGTCCTCCCTCTTTCTTTCTCTCTCTCTCTCTCTCTCACACACACACAAACACACACACACACACACTCCTTCCACAGCTCTAATATTCAAGACTCTGTAAAAATGAACATTTCTGAAAGAAACTGGACAACAGCAGCTTTCAAAGTTGAGTCTCAAGTAGAAAATGTGGCTGCAGCATCTCAGTCTGATGCACCAAACAGGCCTGTCTGATTAAAACATGATGAGCCTAATTATTAGAGTGAAGGGAGGAGACAGAGGAGGAATAAGTTCCATCCTCAGCAGCAGCACCTTGACTCTGTGGCAGTGCTGTTTATCAGACAGGAGCCAGGGGGAAGAGAGAGAGAGAGAGAAAAAAAATACAGGCCAGAGATGGATCTGAAGGCTTAATTATTTTAGGGACAATTTATATGATTTTCTATGAGAAAGAAGCAGGAAGAGCTGAGCTGTGAAGGCCGGCCTCCAACCTTGACTCGGACACACTGATATTGATTTAACCGTGAAAACTGGGAGCCCGGTGAATTATGATGTCATGACTCAGTGCTCTCCTTGCCTCTGTCACAGAAGGAGGATGGTGGTGGGGGGAGGCTGCAGATGGAGGGGAGGAGGAGGAGGAGGAGGAGAGACGAGGGGGAGAGTGGAGGTCAGTGAATGAGAGACGGAGAAGAAGGACAGGTTGGGATAAAGCAGATGAATTAGAGGTTTATCTTAATTGCTCCTAAGAGGGATCACAGGTTAGGGTTGGCTGCTACCTGAGAGAGAAAGGAGGAAGGAAGGAAGAGGACTGTGGGGAAATCAGAAGTGATTACAGAGGAGTTAAACCAACCGCTCACAATGAGGGGAAACAGCGTGAGAATAATGCAGAAGTTTGGAGCAGAGGTCGTGTCTGACTAGGCAGAGGTTCAAGCAGTTCTGGTGCAGCCACACACACACACGACAGATACCCTCAAACCGTCCAAAAATGAGGGTCTTCACAGAAGGTCGTCTTTGGTGTGGAGAAAGGATGACATTGAGCGCATGGCTACATTCATGGAATAGCAGTAAGCAGGACCTCTGTGTCCCTTGCTCTGTTGCTTTGAAGGACACCGTTCTGAATAGAGGCAGGATGAAAAACTTTTGCTGTAGTGCTACAACATTGTTCAGAGGCCGAATGTCTTTGTATTGATTTAGCTAAGAGAAAAAAAAAAAAAAAAAAAAAAAAGAAAAAACAGAGAGATTTTTCACATGTTTATATCAAGGACAGCACAGGATAAACAGCCTTCACTCAGCCTGTCTCTTCTCCTGCTCAAGGCCCAGCCAGCGCAGGTTATAAAAATCCTTCCGTCTCAAGGAGAGATTACATTATGTCTTGTTGCAAAAGCACAGAGTTGAAAAGACAGCTACAGCGCGCAGCCGCTCGCCCTTTTGTCTTGCTTTCGGGTCCTCCTTTTCTTCCTTTGTTCATTTATCAGATTTGTACAAGGTGTACTTAAGTAGCTCTCCACCAAACCGTCGTTGCTTCTGACAGAGTAAATAGAATTTATCTTAAATATTTCTTTGATATCTTCAACCTCAGTGACCCCCGGCTCACGATGTGCAGCCGAATGCTGTTTGAACCTGTAGTGCCTCATTTTCAATGAGATCAGAAGGTGGAAAAAGATACCAAATGTGTCGGCCTACATTTTGGATGAAGGGATGCACAGTAAATGAAGAATTTTACTTTTGGTTAGAGTTTAAAGGAGGGACATGAACTGGAGCAACCAGATATTGAATCCACAGTACATACACTCTAAGAAATAAATACAGAAGATAGCAACAAAAAGGTGTATTGGTAGCTAATTACCAAAACTTTGTCCTATAATTAACGAAAACAGAAATGTTCTGTTAACCAGAAGGATGTCCACAGTAACAAAAAAAAGCCACTTTCAGGATTTTAGTGGTGATTCAGTGGTCAAGCCCCCAAAAATGTCAGTCAAGTGGGACCACAGTAATAAATAAATAAGCATAAATCAATACAATAAATAAAACCATCTGTATTTAATGGTGAATCAATAGTGGGGGAAAATATATATATACTTTTTTTTATTTATGGAGACTATTGTAAATAATGAAAAATAGGACTTTTTTTGTTTAATGGTGTATCAACAGTATAAAAAGTGTAATTGTAAACTAAATCTGTAAAACAACCACAAAAATGACTGACAGCTCATTACTTGTATTTCGTCCTGTAATTTAAAAAATAAAATAAAATAAAATGAAATGAAATAAAATAAAATAAAATAAAATAAAAATTCTGATAATTTATGGTACAACATGGTAAAAAGAAAAAATCAGCAAGAAAATTCTACATTTTCTGCTACATTCTCTCTTAACAAAGAAGCATTCAGAAAGATATTACAAGAAATTCAACTGATAATAATGCAGTTCGAATATATTAGGAAATGAAAATACTTCTGTGAGTCACACAATGTGGACAGTTCGGGTTAAAACATACAGTCATAGAACTTTCAATACATTCAAATTTCTTAGAGTTTCTAATCTATTCTGTAATTCATGTCTTATATGCACCACACTTGCACCTAAATACCATTCGGCAAATAAAAGAAAAATAGAAGGTTATGAGTGAAGATTTTTTCCAAACTGGAGTTTCAGCATCTATAGTTGATCCTCAGAAATTCAGTCTAGCTGATCAGACAAGTGTCATGGTAACCACGGTAACAACAGGTGTGGTTTGATGCTACAGTAAACATTCACTGAACAGCTACTTCATCAGAAAAAAAGCATTTGAAACTGAATAAGTTTTAATTAGAGAAGCTGCTCAAAATAACTGTTGCATCTACGGCTCTTCGTCGCCTCTTTAGCAGCTCACTGTGGCCACTCGGTAACGTTAAATCACACCCTGCAACAAATAATCTGCACTCAAAAATACAGAAAATGACCAGTGATGGGGAACACATGAGGTTTCTTATGGCTTCTTCACAGTAAAGTAACACCTAATAGACTCTATAGCTCTGTTTCTTCCCAAAACACTGGAGGGCTACTTTTTTCTTTTTTTTTTTGGATGATTCGCTGTAAAGACTTGAAGTTCTGGTTATTTGTCATATTTCACACAGTGTCAACCCCCACATGACACCCTGACAATGCATAGAGAGTCAGGTAGACCCTGCCTTCATGGGAATAGACAGGTAATCAGAATCCACAAAATGAAATGTAAAAATTCATGACACAGACATATAACTGTCTCTTATAACTGTATGAGTTATTGTCAAAAATTGATTTCATGAAAAGGATTAGACCGTTAAAGGGAAACTAAACGGTAAAACTGGCCGTTGAGGGGCTGATAACAGTTGTTTTTTTGTAAATGTTCAGATTTTTTTTGTGTCAACATGTCAAGTTTGTTCTCAGTTTTCTGTGATATGCAGCAGACTCTCCGTCTGGCCGGCTGCCTGCTGGGCCCGAGCCTAGTTTTAAACCGGCTCAGCATGGGGAGGCCCTCTCACAGCCGCATCGCAT